TGACGAAGAACACGTGAAATTCGACGTGTTCACGGAAATATAAGGCTTTAAAAGTTAAATTAGGGGTTGGAAAAGGAAAAAAAAGGAAAAAGCTTAAAAGGAAAAAGCCAAAAGGTAGCGGAAAAAGTTGCATGGAAGGGGTATTCTGCGGACTGTTCCGAAATTGCAAATTCATTGCATACAGCTGGGTGCGTTACGCTGCCTGCGTGCAAGCTGTGGGATACAAAGCTTGCGTGTGTACGTCGACCCGGCGGTTTTGAGGCCACCTAATACATCTTATCTTGACTGTTTTCTACACAACAGCGTCCCTTAGTCTTTCTTCGGGAGGGGAATCTTAAGGAGAGATCCAGAAGCCATTTTCAACGTGATCTGTACCTTTGAGACCAAGGCGGCGCTTTCTCGCCAGTACTTTCAAATAGTTGGCCTTCATTCCTACCAACCATTCATTCAGGAAAAGTGACGTCAGCTCCCCCGGAAAACCAACCCCGCTACTGAGTGGAATGCAAAAAAAGAAGGAGAAGAAGAATAAAGCATTATCCCTTCATTGAGGTCACTTCAATCTCATGTCTCAACTTCCGACCTTTTCAACCTAGTTCTGTGCGTTCTAGTGCTTAGTTTGAGGGGCGGAGGGTACATACTCTCCCCGCCCCTCACTTCATATCCACCAACTCATTCTCCTTCATAACATTATCCATTATTTCGCGTTAGGCATGAGAGGAGCTTTGCAATAGACTAATCGCTCTTCGCTCTCGGTCCTTCAGAGGATGTCGATGGTAGTATTGACGGAGTTGGAACAGCGTCAAGCAGCGTGCTACTACACGCACGATCCAGGAGTGGAGGTTCGAGTATATAGATCTTGCAAAACTACGCCAAACAAGCTTTCCATCCGGCTTCTTTAAACTAGTAATTGAAGCGGTGTGATAAAGACACAAGCTCTTCCCATCAGCAGAATTTCTATGGGCTATGAATTCAGTCAAACACTCTTACGCTTCTCTAGCATTCTCTACACTCTTGCCCTTTCGAGCGTTCGAGGGTAACTTGCAGAACCAGCAAAGATTCAATAGCATTCTTTCGCATGAGCTTCATTACGCCTTCGAGTGGAACTCATTGGCCATGAGCATCGCTACTATAAGCCGATCTCGTTTTTTTTGGAGCGAGGATTGAAAACTGAAATCCGTGCTTTCAAAAAACCTTCCATCATCTCTCATCAGTAGCATCCGTGCGATAAGCGACATGAACGTGCCGTCAGTGCCTAACCAATGAAAGTAGGGATAGGCCATTGTTTTACACCTTTGAACTATTGTGTTATGCCAGTGAGTGCTCGGGGAGAAACATTTGATGTTTCTCCGTTTTTGCATGTACTGACATGCCTCAAGAGTTCGCCATACTATCATAAAGACTTCTGTCTATTCATCCTCCTAGAAATGAACTTGACATCCAGCTTTTGATCCTAAACCTCGAGAAAACTAGCTTTCAAAAACCAATTGCCGAATATTTTCCTGCTGTAGAATCAGTAACGTTTATCAATGCCTATCTCCGCAGTGCTCTTTAAGGACGAGGCGACCGCTGTCAGTGATAATATACGTTGCCCTGCCGGGAGTCGCAGAGAAAACCAATGAACTGTACACGTGGTTGAAGCAGCAGTGATTCAGAATGTGTACGCAGTAGAGATGGGAGCAGCTTTGTGCTGCAGGCGACCCCGACGTGTTCAAGATGAAAGCTCTACTGTCACGAATGCTGGAAAAAGAGGTGGGTTCCTAAAACTTTCAGCACTCTTTGCTAGCTAGACCTTACAGTTCGCATTTTTCGATTCCAGTCTTTTATGCGTATACAGTTCTAAAATAGTCATGAGACGGAGTCTCGAGACTATTTTAATTTATTTAGTTCAGGTCTAATTTGAAGACATCAAAGTTTTCTTGAAAATTTCTTTGGAGCAGATAAATATCGAAGTTAATCAAAGCAGATGATGGAGATCCACGGTACTTCTGAACTTATTCCAAAGTCAATTGGAATTACGTGACGAAATGACTGCACGTCAAAATCCCGCTAGATGAAATTTTTTAAGTTCGTGTAATACTGGCATGCCGGGGGTAGTCCGAGTGCTCCGGAGTTGCACCATTTGATTGTGGTTCATGGGTTTGCAATTTTTTCCTCGGAGTCGTAACCTTATATTAGATTGAGTGAATAGTTTTGATCGACTTTTCATCCCTTTCTAGATTCTTCTGTAAGACTCGGAAGGATTTCGTAACAGATTAAGGTAGACCGTTACCAAACCTGTACTCCAGAGGGATATACTTATAAGGATGCCCTCAAAACTAAGATTTCTAGCTTTCTCGAATCGCAACCGCCGCAGTTCTGAACTTCATGACTCGGAAGACTGCCGGATTGTTAGAAATATTGTGGGTCACGACGGAGGCTACATTTCTGATCGCAATCCTTTCCTGATGAAAATAAGAGTTATTGGGATGAAGATGAAAAGTCGATCAGAATCTTTACTCAACCTAATATCTGTAGACTTACTCCGGACTTTTGTTTTTTTTACGACAACTCTTCTCAAAAACATGGGATTAGAAGATGCATCAAATTCAAACTTTATTAAAGTGCCGAAAATCTGTTTTCAGGTTACCATTAGCCACAACTTTCTTCCTTATATTCCCATCTAATTCTAATCCCATGTCAAATAATAATCTCTTGCATACGATGTTTTCGATATTGATGTGAGCGGAAAAATCATTCATCTCTAGATGTGATCGACAAATGTAATCATTCTTTTCTAGCCCTTCATGAATATGAAATACATTTCTGTACAGCGCAGTCAATCGAAAAAATAATTCGTACTATAACGCAGTGTCACCTGTGTGTATGTGCGATTGAAACTCAAAGGAAAATCTGCTCTCGATGAGAATTATTCCCCATCGAGACATTGTAAGGTTCCGTTACTCTGATTCTCCATTATCATATATTAGGTGAAAACGTGTGAAGAAAAATGTTCTCTAGCGAAAAATTTCCTTGAAATTCCAACTAGACATTAATCTGAAACTAACCTGTACTGCTTCCCCGATTGTACTGTGATTATAATCAAAATGATAGGTGATACTAATTGGTTCAGTCATGTTTCAGCACTCAGTGGGGCTTCAACGTGGCTAAGCGAGCGTTATCAGTGACTAGCAGTCATACAGGTCAGCAATAATGGAAGGAAAATAGGTGTGAGAATGCCACAGTTGAGATATCCCACCTGTTCATCGATTAGTTTCAAATTCGTTTCCGTTGCTCTGACCAGTCGGGAAGGGCTTCCTCAGAAGTCAGCGCCCTCCGGTATAGCCTCTTGATCATCGATTTGCTCTGGTGACGCTAGTAGTCTTCGTTTGTCCCACTCGCAAATCAATGTTGTCCTTCTCGCTTTCGCTCGAGAAATACACGACGAAAGTTCAGTATTCCCATCCAAAGCCAGTTGACCCTTCTTTAGACCCCTAGAGCACCTTTCAAATCTTCGAGAGAGTGGGCTCTGAATTATCTTATCGTCGACCTGAAGCGGATGGCGATTAAAGCCCACACAAGTTGGGAAGGCCAGTTTGTCATGACCATACATTCGTTTTGCCTTCCCATTTTGGGACTTTTCGCCTTTCGTGGTATTTACTTTGATGGCCTTTAAAGCCTCGATGTGTTCGACCCATCCACTTCTTGCGTACCCATGAATAATGAGAATGGCCCGTTCTCACCTATGCAATCTCTGCGAGAGCGGTCTACGTAACTGTTTTCGCAGAGATTGCATGCTAACAAGCGCATATGCACGACGCCGTACAGTCACCTACACAAATTAAAAAGTGCGGGTAAATGCAAGTCATACGAATGGATTAGAACCATGCTGTCCCAGACTCGTTGAACAGACTTCGTTCACCCGTACTATGTCGAGAAGACCCCACTTGTGCGAAGCCATTCTCACTCTGACTTGATGGATTCTGACAGGAAAGGATGTCAATTGGAAACTCCTTTTGGGATTCATTATTTGGCCTATATTCTTCGAATTGATCTGCGAGAGAAATATCTTCCCGGGCATTGTTCATTGAAGATCACGCTATGGATTCTGATTCTTCTTTGCTTGCCCATTCCTCGACCATTACAAGCTTAGGTTGCCTTTGGCTTGGGGTCTAACCACAAGACCACATGGAGTCCTAGCATTGGGAAAGGATTCGAAAGGCATATGGTTAACAGGAACTGTCACTACCATCGGAGAAGAGCTATCCGTTGTAATTTATCCGGTATCGGTGTCTAAAGCCTCATCGAACCAAGGTGAAATCTGATAGCAGTTTGTTAGGTATCTATTTCAAGTAGTCGAGCCTCCAGACCTCGACAAGCGCTTGAAGGCCGGAATAAATTTTGGCAAATGCTCCACAATTTCATCCATAACATTCAATAATTCCACTTCAGATCAATTCCAAAACCTTTATATCCACGTGACTCGTGACTGGACCGCTGCTCTCACGATATTACCTTTACACGTTGGAGTTTTTGAAGATATTAGCGATGGCCTTGACCCTCTCGAATGATGGATTTCTGCACCACTCAGAAATGGAAAAACTAGCAAATGCTTTTTGTACGATTAACCGAAAAATTCCATTGACGAATGATTCTTTTCCAACTTTTTCGCCAAGGTAAAATTATTAAAGGGAATTAGAAAAAAAAACAATGCATCTGAAGAGCTAGTATGGGTTTTAGCAGTTAGCAAAGCAACGAGCATATCAAGTTCCATCGAACGAAACGTAGATATATATCAACGGGTAAGAGCTAATCAGATGTTAGTCATTGGAGAGGTCATATAACAGTTCCATTCCTTGGAATCTAGCAATGCAGCTTTGCAATGACGCTGAGCACTGATTTAGGTACACAATCGCCTCCGATAGGTCGAGTGCTTGTGTTTGTAAACCCGAAGTCGGGTTCTGGAAAGAGCTTGGCCACGTTCCGCGATCGCGTTGAACCTAAGCTGAAGAAGAATCATATCGACTACGATGTTGTCATAACTAGTGAGTGTGCATTTCCTACTCTCACACTGTTTCCAACTGTGCGTTTGAAGGAGTGACAAAATTAAAATTTTTGTGGGTGTTCACCTTCGAGGAACGAGAGTATTTGATCAAGGCTTTTTATGGAAGTCAGATCACCACATTCGTAATCATACTTTTTGGAACAGACTGGGAAACTGTGGTAAGGTCTGTTCCGTACGTTTGGTGCGAGGGATGGGGCAATGCCACCAAAAAGTCCAGTACTGACGATCACAGACGCTCCATTTGGCACTTATACCATTTTGAAACCCGTTGTTTCGCTCCATTTCTTCAGGGCTTCATTTCTAACATGAGTGTTCCTTCCCAAAATTCATCGGAGCGGAAGTAAATACAAAAGGTGTACGCACTGTCAAGCTGAGAAAATCGACATCCTTTACCAGTCCATTTTTGCAACGACGTTCTCCATTCCCACATTTTCGAAAGTGCCATTAAGCCTCAGACACGTAGGGTTGAGCAAATTAATCTACGTAGACAACATCATCAAATGTCTCGTAGCAGGTAGGTGAAACTTCTGCTAGAAACCCTATGATATTATTCAGTTGTCGTCGCAGTGCCTTCATTTTCGGTTTATTTTCGTGAAATGCTTATGTTTGATATCTCTTTCTCCACTACTGCAGACAAGCGCACGTGATTCATTACAGATATTTTTCCTTTAGGTGGCCCAAACCATGCAAAGTCAGCAATTCGATTGCGAGATGACCTTGGCAAGTACAACGGCATCATCATTCTATCTGGCGACGGCTTGGTTTTCGAGGTTAGTCACCACACATGAGATAACTAATGGTTTTAGAATAAAAAGACGGAGAATCGGGGCGCATAAATAAGATTCTGAAGAACTGACGAGTTTGATAAAATGGCATAGTATGTAGCAGCAGATCATAAATTTATCTTTGATAACCCTTGTTTTTGTTACACGAACCATCGAAAGTTCCTGCACTTTGCTTGTATCGTAATCCTACTACATACATTTAGCTAACTGTGTCTGTGTTTGTGTGTCTGTATGTCTGTGTGTCCCTGTGTCCGTGTGTCTGTGTGTCTGTGTGTCTGTGTCTGTGTGTCTGTGTGTCTGTGTCAGTGTCTGTGTGTCTGTGTGTCTGTGTGTCTGTGTGTCTGTGTGTCTGTGTGTGTGTGTCTGTGTGTCTGTGTGTGTCTGTGTCTGTGTCTGTGTGTGTCTCTGTCTGTGTCTGTGTGTGTCTGTGTGTCTGTGTGTGTCTGTGTGTGTGTCTGTGTGTGTCTGTGTGTGCCTGTGTATGTGTCTCTGTGCGTGTGTGTGTCTGTGTGTGTCTGTGTGTGTGTCTGTGTGCGTGTGTGTGTCTGTGTGTGTCTGTGTGTCTCTGTGTGTCTGTGTGTCTGTGTGTCTGTGTGTGTGTGTCTGTGTGTCTGTGTGTGTGTGTGTCTCTGTGTGTGTCAGTGTGTGTGTGTCTGTTTCTGTGTCTGCGTCTGTGTGTGTGTCTGTGTGTGTGTCTGTGTGTGTCTGTGTGTGTCTGTGTGTGTGTGTCTGTGTCTGTGTCTGTGTCTGTGTGTGTCTGTGTCAGTGTCTGTTCTGCATGCGTGTCTGCGTCTGTGTCTGTGTGTGTTTGTGTGTGTGTCTGTGTGAGTGTGTCTGTGTCTGTGTGAGTGTGTGTCTGTGTCTGTGTGTGTGTCTGTGTGTGTGTCT